TTGAACCGTACCATTTTGATATTTTGTGATTATCCCAATAATACACCACTTTAAAGGCTCTAACCTTGTGTGTCACCCAATTAAATAATTTGGGAGGATAACTGGATAACAACCTATATTTTATATACACATTAGGCCATATTTTTTTTGATGCACCGTTATTTTTTAAACTCATTTTTTAAAGCACACTATTATCACCGACTATTGTGGTTCTAATCGGTTTCGGTCTAAGTTGACACCTTACACACTAGGGGTATAAGTTTTTTTTATTTTTTTTTAATTTTTATTTTTTTAGAACGAAAAATCTACACTACTCATAAATTACTCCTAATACCACCTATGTCTCCAATGAGACTTGAACCTTCAACCTCTAAGAGGGAGGGTAACACCCAATACTAGGGGTGTAAGTCAGCTGAGCTACTCAGGATCGACTCGTTAGCTACTCATGATCGACTCGTTAAAAGTTCGACTCGAGATCGAATTAAACAAGCCCGAATCGAGTTCGGGCCTAAATATGAGGCTCGTTTATTAAACAAGCTTGTGTCGAGCTTCAATTAGTAGGCTCATGAGCCTAAATGAGTATATATATATATATATATATATATATATATATATATATATATATATATATATATATATATAGGCCTATGTTATTCTATTCAAAGTAATTATTGTGTTATTGTATGCATAACTGTGGGCCAATCAATTTTACTTATTTTAAGAAAGTGATTAATATATATTATTGAATTAAATGTAATTGAAAAATATCATCTAATTTAATTACAAGGGTATTTTAGTCAATTAATATAGATTTAATAAAGGAAAATTACATATTTAAAGGGATCATAGATTCTATTAATTTTAAAAATCCGATTTTACGAATTATAACTATTTTAATTCGGACATTCTGACAGAATATGTTTATTTATTTAATTATCACTCAAAAAATAAAAATATTATTGAACCATAAATAATAAAAATATTCCTGAACCTATTTCTTGATCATGAATTTAAAAACTTCTTGTAGAATAACAAATTCTTGAACAATAAATTGAAGAATAAAAACAAAAAATACATTATTTCTTATAGAATACGGGTAACAATTGTTAAGAATTACATTTATTGTTAAAGAATAAAACTAAAAAACTTTCAAAACGGGAAAGAAAACATCAAAATCTAACAACGACTAATACATTCTAAAAGAATAATGTGGTCCGTTTCAATTTTGTGGTCCGTTCTTCAAGCATCAACTTCTGTGATTCCAACAGAATTAGAATTCGTGATTCCATTCCAACAGAATTGGAATTCGTGATTCCATTCCAGTAGAATTGGAATCTCACCAATATCATCCATTGAATCATCTATATAAACATACTTGATACCTTTTCAGAATTCAACATTGTCAAGATCCTGCGCTGTCCACATAAATGAAGTGTTAAATCAGAAAAAAAAAGATTGAAATATGAATCAATTCATAAAATGCAGCCAAACAAATTGGAATTACCTCATAAGCCTCGTTTTTTCAAAGCCTGCAAACATTTTCAAATTGAACATATTAAAATAAAACATCAAATTCATCTATTTCAATGTCTTTCTAGGAACCCGCACAATGGATAGTCTTGCACGACATTATCATAACATAATAGAATATGATAAAAAGCTTTTAATAATTAAAAAGCATTAAGTAAAATGTAAACAATTACAGTGGTCAAAATAATCACCTTTAAACAATTACTTTCATACTCCATGGGACAAATTGATCTCCACATTGTCTTCTCAATTATCGTTTTGTCTGATATTTAGTTCTCAACTATCGCTTTAATATTATGCAAAAGGAAAATGACTAATTACCAAACAGAGGAGATCAAATTAATCAAAATTATGTATCAAATAATGATTTTTCTTTTTGGAATCAAATAAACCCTAATGAACTTTGATACTACTTTTTACCGTTCATTTAATTTAAAGAAAGGAAACGACGGATCAAACCTGTTGGAATCGACCGAACATACAAATCGCTCTACGAGAACTGGTTTCTTTGAATTCAGATCGTATAGCTTCAAAAAATCAGATTAATGTAGGGATGAGCAAAAGGACCGAACCGGCCGGAACCGGACCCGACCCGGTAACCGGCTTCGGCCAAAATCAAGAACCGAACCGGCCCGGCGGTTCTACCGGTTCCCGGTTCCTACCGGTTCTTGTCGTGTCTTCAAATGTTAGAACCGGTCCTCGAAAAATAGCATCATACGGTTCCGGTTTTTGCCGGTTCTACCGGTTTTTTCCGGTTCCGGTTATATCGGTTCCGGTTCCTACCGGTTCCCGGTTCCAAAAATCCACAAAAATAACGTCCCGGTCCCGGCCCGACCGGTTCCATCGGGTTCCGGTTCCGGCCGGTTCCCCGGTCCATATGCTCATCCCTAGATTAATGTTATCATATATTTGAAAATAATCTTGAATCTAAACTATCTAATTGTAGATCATCGGTTTGTTTTGGCTACACCCACCTGCAATCAGAACACAAAGAAGAAGGGTGGGCTGCGTTCAATTCATGCTACAAGATGGAGGGTCGGCGGTGAAGAGGCCGTTGGTTTTTTTTGGCCACCTGTGAGCTCTCGTAGGAAGAAGTCACCGGAGAAGGGCGTCTGCCCCTCTCTTTCTCGTATTTTCTTCTTCCTGTCAAACACAACAATCGAACGCCCCCTAGATCGGTGTTGTCCCGATGCTTCTTCCCTCCGCACCTCCTCACAATTTACCAACTATCACAGAAGCTCCGTCGACATGCCCTGTTCCTTCGTTTCCCTTACCGTCAGCGTCTTCGACTGATTAGAGGAGAAAGGCGTGAAGGAGTCTTCAACCGATGATGAAAATTGATCCTACAACGATTGATCAGATCATTGCCGTATATAAAAGAGGGATTAGGTTAAAATCAACGTAACTAGCAAAATTATAGGGAGTATTTGCGGAAGTTATTTCTCAAATTACCTAGTTACCCTTATTGATTTATTTAATTATTGTTTTTTCTATTAAATTTTGATTGGTCCACAATAATGCATACAATAATACAATACTTAATTAAAATACCTGAACCTATCTCTCTCTCTCTCTCTCTCTATATATATATATATATATATATATATATATATATATATATATATATATATATATATATATATATATATAGGGAAGGGTTATTTGGAAAACAAAAAAACCCTAAAAAAAACCCCAAAAATCATAAAAATGCATAAAAAAATACCTAGAGATCACAAAACTTTTTTTTGACATTTTTTATGAAAAAATCGCAGGTTTTTAAAGAAATTCGCTGAAAAAAAATTTGAAAAAAAAACTTTTTTTTTATAAAAAAAAATTGATTTTTTTTTCAGCGAATTTTAATAAAATGCTGCGATTTTTTATAAAAAAAATTCAAAAAAAAGTTTTGTGATCTCTAAGTATTTTTTTATGCATTTTTATGATTTTTAGGGTTTTTTTTAGAGTTTTTTGTTTTCCATAGAACCTAAACCTATATATATATATATATATATATATATATATATATATATATATATATACACACACACCACCTACTAATATCACCTATGTCTCCAATGGGACTTGAACCCTCAACCTGTAGGAAGGAGGGCAACACCCGATACCAGGGGCGGAACATGATCAATAGAAGTGAGGGGGCCAAAACCATATTCACTTCTAATCATATCAATAAAAGGCATTCAAGGTTTTTATAGTCTTTTACGCCGAACAATTTTGTTTTCTAATGTATGTTTATACCAAATTTACATCGGGCAGTATTAATTGTACTAAAGAAGTTTCAGAGGTCTAATTGATCTTGATTATTCGACTCACTACAAAATAATAATAGATTTATTAGTATATTAAGTTGGATGTTTCAATATATTTTTGAACTAGTTTTGTACATACCACATATAAAAAAACAAATAAAAAACTTTTCCTTTCTAAACAAGCCTTTACAAAAAATCATACCTTATAAAAACAAACCCATGGAAAAATTAATTGTTTTTATTCATTTATCATAATGATTATCAAAGGCATCAGATATATATTAAAAATATATTATATGAACATACCTATTTAAAGAAAAAAGTATTCAACTCCAATTTTGCTTCAATATCATATATGAGACTAGCGTAGGTAAAAAGAATTTTTATTTTTATTTTGTCCCACATCTTGATGATCTAACTTATAAAAGGGTTTACATTGTATATTTAAATGAAAATTAATATTGTATCTCCTTCTTGATTTGGAAGCTCATTGATAAAGATTTTAGTACAAAATATTTATAATAATATCTAGTCAAAACATGTCAAAATTAAATTGTGATATTTAGTGGAGCAAAAAGGTGGGGGCCATGGCCTCCCCCAGCCCCTAAAGGCATCCGCCACTGTCCGGTACCGCAATGAAACTTGAACTCTCAACCCCTAGGAAAGAGGGCAATATCCAGTACCGCTGGGCTAGAAGCCCTTTGGTCTTATACAAGTCAATTAACCCACCTAATATGCTATTTGCTAATTGGCAGAAAGATCCAAAAAGGGGACAATTTGCGGGCACAAACGTCTGTTTTATAAAAAGCCAGGGATAAGGTTTTGTTTTACTCTCTTTTTTCATGGGCTTTGGTTAACATAGGCCATATGCATCAATCCATTAAAGCAAAGCCAATCTCTACCTTTCTTTTGTTAACCTACCTTTTCCATCTTTCCATTAAACACAACAATGAAATAAACCATATTTGTGCACTTGTCTTGTAAACATGGCCCACCTCCTCCATTTAAGTCCTTACTCTTAAATCTATATTTTCCTTTTGTGGTGCTTTCTACTTTTCTAGCATCACTTAAAAAACAAAAATTAAAATATAATTTGATTTTTGATTTTGAATTCGACTATTGTTTGTGGGTGTTTTTGAAACTTGGATATCAAGATAACAGCATTAATTGTACCCAAAGAAAAAGAAGGTTCATGAACTATAGAATATGAGTGGACAAAAGTATGTTCTCACTTAAATTCTTAACTAATTTCCTGAAATATATATTCGCAAGATAGCTGGATATTAATCTGAATTTACAATCACTGATGTCGTTTTCTATCTGTAAAATTCATGGGTTTCAAAGAATGTCAATCCTTTCGAGACAAAATTTGGCCACTAGATATCTGTGGTGGGTGTAGCTCCTAGTATACACAAATGTGATGAGATTCTACCTGTCATAAACTTCAATACTTCCATGTTTCTAGTTCGATATTGATACTCAAAATTTGCCAATTCGTTATCTATGAGATTATAACTAAAATTTCTTCTAATTGTAAGTCTTCTTCACAGATTCTGTGTTTTCTGGTTTTCACTTGAACGAATGGTTGACCATGGAGTCATGGGATGCTGGTTGAAATCGGATTTTCATGGGATATAATCTATAATAGATGAGTGGCAATCTTGTAATTTCATATTCACGACACCTACATGATTGTCAGGTTAGGGTTCATTGTTGCTGCTTCAATTGCAGCTTATGCAGTTAAGCAGGTCAACGTTAAACGTCCTCCGTCAACAGGTAATTCCATAATTCGTTTCTTTGTATTAAAAGAGGCGATTTTTTTTCAAATTTCTATGGCTTTGTATGGATACTGATGTTGTTCAATGCCTCTAATGGTGAAATTGGAGCTCAGGAAACGATGATCTACTTCTGGACAAAATAAAAAAGAAGAAGAAGATAAAAAACAGATTACGGTTTGTGTTATTGCAGAAGTTATTCTTAATTTCGTATTCCAATTTCAGTCCCTATTCGATGACTGTTCCTAGGGTTTTATTTTTAATTTTACTTTTTGTACAGAATGAAGAGGAAGAGGAAAAAGAAGAGGTTAAACTAATTAGTGGTTTAATCAATGCACAATCAAACACTCCAGATTTTGAAGATGACATCTTACCTGAATTCGAAGATCTGTTATCCGGCGAGATTGATATTCCGTTTCCGACAGCCGAGAAAGAGCGTGTATACGAAATCGAAATGGCGAACAACGCAAAGGAACTCGAACGATTACGGAACTTAGTCAAAGAGCTTGAAGAACGAGAAGTCAAACTCGAAGGCGAACTTCTCGAATACTACGGATTAAAGGAACAGGAATCCGATATCGTTGAATTACAAAGACAATTAAAAATCAAAACAGTCGAGATCGATATGTTGAACATTACAATCAATTCGTTACAAACCGAGAGAAAAAAGCTTCAAGAAGAAGTCGTTAATGGAGCTAATTATAAAAAGGAATTAGATGCAGCCAGGAATAAAATCAAGGAGCTTCAAAGGCAGTTTCAACTCGAGGCGAATCAAACGAAAGGGCAATTGTTGTTATTGAAACAACAAGTTGGAATTCTTCAAACGAAAGAACAAGATGCATTCAAGAAGGATACTGATATTGAGAGAAAGTTTGAAAAGCTTGAAGGAATTAGAAGTGGAAGTTGTTGAGCTTAAAAGGAAGAACAGAGAGCTTCAACATGAAAAAAGACAATTGGTTGTTAAACTCGATGCAGCTGAATCCAGAGTTGCAGTGCTTTCAAGCACAACCGAGGTAAATAGGATTGCAAATTAAAGAATAATTTTTTTAGGACAAAACTTGTAAAATTCATATACATTTAGGGATCAAAAGTGTAATGTTTTCTTCTTCTTTCTTATTTTTTATTTTAATTTTAAAAAAATAATAAGAAAGAAGAAAAAACTCAAAAATTTACAAACGTTGTCAATTTGTTGAATGTCATAATGCCTTTTCAGTAATGTAATTCCCATGGTGCTACTGCTACAGACAGAAATGGTGGCGAGGGTGAAAGAGGAAGTGAACAAATTAGCACACACAAATGAAGATCTGTTGAAACAAGTCGAAGGACTCCAAATGAACAGATTCAGCGAAGTTGAAGAACTCGTGTACCTCCGATGGGTTAACGCATGTCTGCGATTCGAGCTTCGAAACTACGAAACACCTTCAGGAAAAACATCAGCTCGCGATCTCAACAAAAATTTAAGCCCTAGATCTCAAGAAAAAGCCAAACAGTTAATGTTAGAGTACGCAGGATCAGAACGCGGGCAAGGAGGCGACACAGATCTCGAAAGCAACTTCTCTCAACCATCATCTCCAGGATCCGAAGATTTCGATACGGCTTCCATTGATAGTTCCATGAGTCGATACAGTAGTTTCAGTAAAAAGCCAAGCTTGATTCAAAAACTTAAAAAATGGGGGAAATCGAAAGATGATTCGAATTATTCTAGCGCTCTCACTTCACCTGCAAGGTCGTTTACCGGTGGATCTCCTAGGGTTAGCGTTAGTCAGAAACCGAGAGGTCCGTTAGAAGCTTTGATGTTACGAAACGCAGGTGAATCAGTCGCGATTACTACTTTCGGTGTAGCTGATCAGGATTCCGCTAATTCTCCAGAAACCCCCAATAATGTTGCATCATCGTTTCAATTGATGTCGAAATCGGTTGAAGGCGTTTTGGATGAGAAGTATCCGGCGTATAAAGATCGACATAAGCTTGCATTAGAACGCGAGAAGAAAATCAAGGAAAAAGCCGATCAAGCGAGAGCTGCTAGGTTTGGTGATAGTACTACGAGTTTCAAGCCACCGAGTTACAGTACTAAATCAGTGAGTTTGCCGCCAAAACTTGCTCAAGTGAAAGAGAGAGCAGTGATTTCTCCTTCTGCTGATGTCACTTCCGGTGATCAGTCAACCATGGGAAAGTCAACGAGCATGCCACCTGTCAGTAAGATTCCATTTGCCGATATTGAAAAGAGACCGCCTAGAACTCCACGTCCTCCTCCGAGACGCACCGGAGCCGCTCCTGCCACCACCGCTAATCCAGTATCTGCAGGTGGAGGTCCTCCGCCTCCACCTCCTCCACCAGGTGCTCCACCACCACCGCCACCACCTGGCGGCCCACCCCGCCCACCTCCTCCACCGGGAACCCTAGCTAGAGGAGCCGGTGGCGGTGATAAAGTTCATAGAGCTCCAGAGTTGGTTGAATTTTACCAAAGTTTGATGAAACGTGAAGCTAAAAAAGATACGTCAATCATATCTTCATCTGCATCAAACACAGCGGATGCAAGAAGTAACATGATCGGAGAGATTGAAAACCGGTCAACTTTCCTGTTAGCTGTACGTTTCAAGATTCTAATCTCCCATTAAATCTTATGTTTATGCATAATTATTACTAATTGACACTGTCTTTGTTTTCAGGTAAAAGCTGACGTGGAAACTCAAGGTGATTTTGTCGAGTCACTTGCATCTGAAGTCCGAGCTGCTTCTTTTACACATGTAGAAGATTTGGTGACTTTCGTGAACTGGCTTGATGAAGAACTCTCATTTTTGGTATGTTTTTTAAGATTTGTTACATAATTAAAGAGAAATTACATTTTGATCCTACTAATCCACCTACCCATTTAAATGATGACATGTGTCATATTAGTATTTTAAAATATCATTAAATTTCATTAAATGAACATTAAATGTTACACATGTCATCATTTCATTGGGTAGGAGTTCATTGGGTAGGAGGATATGTAGGAACAAAGAGTAGGACATGTCATCATTTCATTGGGTAGGAGGATATGTAGGAACAAAGAGTAGGAGGATATTTAATTTCTCATTATTAAAAGTAATTTATATTTTGGTTCAAGAAGTTTTCGTTTTTTTGCAAATTTTGCTCTATTTTGAGGTTTTCTTTAGCCTCTATTTCAAGTAAAATAAAATGACCATTTTACTCCATAAGTATAACTGCTTTTGCAGTTTTGTCCTTTTCTTTGGCAAATTTTTTTTTTTTTTTTCAAGTGACTACTTTGGTAGCTGAGTATAATTGATTTTTGCAATATTGGTCCAAAATATAGTTATTTTAAATAGAATAGCACCAAAAAAGTTAAAAAAACCCTCAAAGTTTTACCAAAAATGAAATGTTTTTGGTCTCTGTTCCAAGTAATTTTCTACTTTGGTCCCTTGTTGTAATTCATTTTTGCAATTTTGGTTTTAAGAAGTTTTATTTTGTAATTTTTTTCCTTATTTGACATTCTAGTAATGTTTTTGCTCTTTATTCCAAGTAAAATGATTACTTTGGTACCTGAGTATAAGTGATTTTTTAACTTTAGTCTAAGAAATTAAGAAAAAGGACCAAAATTACAAAAGAAAAATTCCTGAGACCAAAACTGAAACATTTAGTAATATTCAAGGACCAAAAATGTAATTTACTGAATATCATCTACTATTTGTTTGTCAGGTTGATGAACGGGCAGTCTTGAAGCATTTTGATTGGCCAGAAGGAAAAGCAGACGCATTTAGAGAAGCAGCCTTTGAATATCAAGATCTAATGAAACTCGAAAAACAAGTCTCTAATTTTGTCGATGATCCAAGTGTCCCATGTGAACCCGCTTTGAAGAAAATGTACAAGTTGCTAGAAAAGTATGTTTCAACACTTTTTTATTTTTCATTATTAACATCAAGATTTAATTTAATATAATCACCATAGCTACTCTTTATAAAATATCCAATTTTTTTTTTCTTTTTTTTTTTAGAGTGGAGAACAGTGTTTATGCATTACTAAGGACAAGAGACATGGCTATGTCGAGATATAAAGAATTCGGGATTCCAATCAATTGGTTACAAGATTCCGGAGTTGTAGGCAAGGTATTGTTTTTGTTTGTTAGTATAATACTATAATTCAATAAAACTTTTTTTTAATTAATAAACAATAAAAAACATTTTTTTTTTCAGATCAAGCTTTCGTCTGTGCAATTGGCTAGAAAATACATGAAGCGGGTTGCATCTGAACTTGATGCGTTGGATGGACCCGAGAAAGAACCAAACAGAGAGTTTTTGGTGCTTCAGGGTGTGCGATTTGCTTTTCGTGTTCATCAGGTAAAATAAATTTGAGAATCGATCATTTTTTATACAGATATTTTATAATATGTGTTGCTAAAATTATTGTGTTTTTACAGTTTGCAGGAGGGTTTGATTCAGAGAGTATGAAGGCATTTGAAGAACTAAGAAGCCGAATGAACAAACAAACAACAGAAGAAAATACGCCTGAAGCTTGAGTGTTACATGATTTTTTATTCCTTTTTCTTTTTCCATGTTTATATATTTTGTATTTTAGTTTGTTTATGTTACTGCCTCCATGCAGATAAATATACCTTATATTGAATTATATTATACAACCAATAGGTCAAATTCAAATGACAAGATATATATGCTCATTTTTACAAAGTATAACGTCTAAACATGACTTTAGGCGAATTAGGATCATAGGGAGGAATGGATTCTGATTTTAGTTAACAACACACATATGTGGGATAAACAAAGTTATTGGAATGATGAATTTGAATACATTTGTAAATTTCATACAAAAGGGTAAAAGGAAAAATATGTTGTTATTTCTTGAAACTATAGGACTAAAAAGAACTAGATACAAATGAGTATGAACCAAGGGAGTAAATAAAAATAAAGGGGTAACTTAGATATATTCCATAAGAGCATACGATACGGGACCATAATGCCGTGAGGTGCCTATGTGGCACCTCCATAACGCCACAAATACCGCCCTGCTACGCCGTGGAGGGAATACCACCCCCATCTAGAAGTCATGAAGAGTTGCTGGTGATGTGACAACGTTGTGGATGGGTATGAGTGTGACCCATACCCAATGCTCTAAAGGAAGTTTAGGTTTCAAAAAGGACACATCCAAAATAGTACTCTATGATTTAGCCCCGTAATAAGCTATAGGTAAGTTTAAATGAGCAATTTAGAGGGTGGAGTTTCTCTTTTTATTAGGCGTGAAATTGGTACGTTATCGAGTGTTTTTTTTTCAAACTATGTATCCTACAAACTATAATTGACAGAACAATTTGAGTATTAATACCATACCAAATATACTTGGCACCAATTTATTTGTACAAAAAAAAATTGGTTGGTATGGTATTGGTATTAGTTTATACCAAAAACTTTAACATATATATATATATATATATATATATATATATATATATATATATATATATATATATATATAAAGAGTTTGACACTTGATTAGGCTTCACATTGTAATCACCGAGTGGTTAGAAAGTTTTCCAAAATCGGAAACAAAATAAGCAAAAAAGTGTCATCAGTGTTTAGTGCTGTTTGTACACAATATCTATAAAATAAAATAACATCATGTATAAAATAAAGTAAATGTATTATGTTGAGTTTTTATTTAAAAATTGTTTCATAAACACAAAGATAGCAACAAAAGATTTTAATTTTGAACAAAAAAACTAGTTTTATACCCACCAAATATCATTTTGCAAAGACCTGGAAAGATTAAACATAACCAAAGAAGAAGAAAAGTAAAACAACATTTGAAGACTTTGGTTCTCTTTGGCAATTAGAAAGTTGATGAAGATGGTTTGAACTTTGAAGCTCCAAGGTAGAAGGTCTCTAGAGATATCCACAAACAATTAATCAACTTGATAAGATGCTAGTCTTCATATTGTAATAAAAGAATCTCTTAAGCCTTTAAGAACAAAACAAAGCTTTTGTTCTAAAGGAGAGTCCAAGTAAAATATCAAATTCTTCCTACTTTGATCTTAACACTTTAAGAGACAAAAACTAGAGAGAATATAGAGATATGAAGTCATAATTTTCGTGGTTTTTGACTAGTAAAAGAAGAGATACATGCAAGCCTTTTAATCATCTTAATCCAAGTCCTTACCCATTGAGTCTTGATGCTTTAATACACCATGCATCTAGCAACAAAAGGCTACAAGTTTAAGAACATGACTTTATGATTAAATAAATGCAATCATGTGTTCTTTTCCCTTTATGGTCTCATTGAATATTTTATAAAAAGAAGAAGCTAGTTTTTCTATAAAAACTCTTCTAATTTTTATAACTTATCAAGTATATAAATCCATATAAGACAAAACCCCATTTTGGTCCAAAAAGATGTACATGACATAATAAATCATACCTTATGATATATTTTGATACTTAGCATTGAAAATTAACATTTCCATGAAATAAATAATTTCCAATTTATTACAAGATTATATATTTATTTACCAAGAATCAAATTCTTATAAATAATACATTTGCATCAAGTTGTTAGTGTGACCCTTTAGGATAATATATTATCTAGCAATATCATTCTATAATGACTCTTGGGCATATATATCTTTCAATCTCCCACTTGCATAAGACTCATCATAGATTGATACAGACAACGGTGAACGTCTAACAACATTTCACTGCCCTAGTAATATATGAATTAGTGTCATTCTATCAATATCGAATTCCCAAAAGCTCAAAGCGTCAATTGATGTATAAGGTAAGTTTATCAGTTGTCCCTCTGTCACATATATCCTATTGAACATGAGACTTGCATCACATCAATCTCATTTGGAGTTCAACTGTAACATCCTGTTGCAAGAAGTTTCCTATTTCGGGAATTATGGTCATTAGACATTTAATGGACCAAGTTAGGGACTTGGACTTCAAAAGGGCTTGGGTTTTAGACCCAATTGGATGTGGATTATAGGTTATGTGATCCAAGCTCTCGGATTGTATTTTGGAGTCAAAGGGTATGATAGTAAAAGTGATGCTTCATACATTTTCTTGAATTAAGGATTCTAGTTCAGAAGGTTTTAAGTCAAAGGATATTTGATGTGATTGTAGGGCTTTTCATTACCTTTCCGATCATATAAAGAACACCAAAAACGGAGTTGGTACGAATAAGTTATGACCATCGGAAGTTAGTGATGGGTTTTGAGCATTACATCATTCCTATGGTGCACATGCAACCTAAAGCTTTGGATCTAGCTTTTCTCTAATTGTACATGCAATAATAATCATCCAAAGCTATAACCCTAAACTAGCATACATAAATCGAAATTTATATCTAATACAAAGTTAGAATATTACCTTTCAATTGTAGCTTGCTTGATCTTCAACCTTTGAGAACTTAGCACCTCAAATGCGATGCCTCTAATAGATCACAAACACCAAAAGCAAGTTGGAAGAATATGAGAGAGAGAGAGAGAGTCACAAAATCGGCTGGAGATCCTTCTAGGGTTTCTATTGGCCGATTTTAGGATGCCCAAGGGTTCCTTATATAGCTGAGCAGTTAGAGTTTCAGTCAAAACGTTAATCCAGTTGCTTAGTCCTTAAGCAGCCCTTAGGATCCTTCTAGAAGGGCCCCTTGGACGAATTCTATGTGGACTCCCACATAGATTTCGTCCATGCCTTCCTTATGGACCCTAAGCCTAACTTTGTAACTATCTTATAATTACGGTACCAGTCCCCTTAATTTAATTAATCTCTTTTTGACCACAAAATTAATTCTAAATTAATAAATGACCAATATTAATTAAATAATATGATTTCTCTTTTAATATATTATTCCTATAATATATTAATAAATCATAATTAACCTCTTTCTCCATAATTCATCCAGTCAAGTTGCTATGGTGAAGGCAACCCAAAAGGATCATGCTACTATCGGGTCAAGTACATACCAAATATAGTTATGGGCTTAGACACCTAATCCAACAGTCTCCCACTTGGATAAGTCTAATAACTATAAATGCAAGTACGACTTCAAAATCCGATTAGCAATCGTAGCTCTCAAAAGCTACTGTCGAACTCTGACACGTCCTATAGATAAGGGATCATGTAGTCCTTCGTTCTCAAGATATCATGCGGATAAATACATGGAACATAGTCATACTTATTGTCCAGCAGTTTGTTTCCCGATTTCTGATTCGTCTGACATAGAACTTAACTGAACACATCAATTTAGTCCTAATCGGGCCCGACACATAAGTCAAAACAAAATCATCGAGGGGCCCAAGATATCGCTTTTAACCTCTTAGGATAAAAGGAGCAGATAAACTTTGACTTATATGCTTGTACTATTTACTCATTAAATCGTACACAACAATACGTTTTATAGGCATCAAGTTACTGATGCGTTTACGCATTATCAATGCACAACCAACTCGTAAACAACAACTCATATATCTTGGTTTAAAGACTAAATGATATTATCATCTCACAATCACTCGTGATTAATTCCATGAAGTGATTCATGTGAGCGTGGGTTTAATCCAATACTCAAATCTTATTTCAGAAGCACTCATGAACGTTGCAACAAACTTTTGCTATGTCTAAACGCTTAGACAATCTACAAGCCAATTCATGACAGTCTTGCCTCAATACCTACTTCCAAAGTATGATCGACTGTGGATGGTTTGAATAATCTTATTATTCTGGAAGTCAAAACATGCAAAATGAAACAATAGTAAACAATTGACACAAGACAGTAACATTACTTATAAATAAAACTCCTTTATTTAATCATCAAATGTCAATTATATATTTTATCTATTACAAGTTTCTAAACGGCTATCTAATCACTAAAACTAATATCGTCCTTCAACCCAATACTCCTAGCATGCTGCAAGTGCTTAACCCTACTCAATCCCTTCGTAAGGGGATCTGTTGGGTTATCCTCTGACGATACCCTCTTCACTACGAGGAGTCCCTCTTCTACCCGATGTCTAATGAAGTGGTATTTTCTGTCGATATGCCCGGATCTGCCATGATCCCTCGGTTCCTTGGTTAAGTTGACCGCACCTTCGTTATCACAGAAAATTTCCATAGGCTCCTTTATGACCGGTACAACTCCAAGGTCTCCAATGAAGTTCTTTAGCCATATTGCCTCCTTCGACGCTTCGCTCGCTGCTATGTACTCTGATTCGCACGTTGAATCAGCTACGGTCTCTTGCTTGGAACTTTTTCAAGTCACTGCTCCTCCATTTAGGGTAAACACCCAGCCCGACTGAGAGCGGAAATTATCTTGGTCATTCTGAAAACTGGCATCACTATACCCTCGCACTCTCAAGTCATCACTCCCACCGAGGATAAGAACCCAATCCTTAGTCCTCCGCAAGTACTTAAGAATGTTCTTTACCGTAGTCCAATGAAATCTACCAGGATTCCCTTGATATCTGCTGACCATGCTCAAAGCGAAGGCCACATCAGGGCGAGTACACGTCATAGCATACATGATCGAGCCAACAACGGAAGCATAAGGTACTCGACTAATTTCTGCTATCTCAGCATCAGTACTCGGACTTTGAGTCTTACTCAATTTGGTATTGCTTTGGATTGGTAATTCCCCTTTCTTGGAATTCTCCATGCTGAAACGT